CCGATGCCGGCCGCCATGCCGTGAGGTCTCAGGGCGCTGCTGGGCTTTCCTTCGGTGGTGCCTACAGGGATGGAAGAGTAAAGGGACAGCAGGGACATGAGGGACACCAAGGGGATGAAAAAGGGATTTTGGAAAGCCAGGAGAAGCTGATGGAGCATCCTGATGCCAGCCATGACCATATGGCTCTCCTAAATCCTGCATTCCGTTTTCCAGTGATGATGCCCTACCAACCCTGAGCTACCTGTCATCCTCCTCCGAAGAAGACTCGGAGGACGACGAGGCAGCATCCCTCTTGTGATGCTTGTCCTTCTTCTTTTCCTTCTTATGTTTCTTCTTTTTCTTCTTTTTTTTCTCCTTTTTGGATTTCTTGCTCCCTTCCGGTCTATGTGGAAGAAATCAGTGAGGATCCCTGCCCCACGCCTCCATCTGGCTCCTCCAAAAACTCATCCCCATCCCCCTCTCCCCCATCCCACCACTTTCCTCCTTGGCCAAGGAGAAGTGCCCATAAAAAACCCCAAAACAACAAACAGGTTTTGGAGGCAAAGCAGAGGTTTTGGGGATGGTTCAGGGAGATGCAGAACAAGCCCAATGCCAAAAGGAGCCTTAGAAGCATTTTGCAAAAAATCTCCTCCACAAAAATAGGCCATTTCTGGTAGTTTCCCACCAAAGTGGCAGTCTCCATACTCACCGTTTCTCCTCCACCTTCTCCTCCTTCTCCTGCTTCTTCTTGGAGATGGGTATCTCGGGGCTGCTGGAGACTTTCTGGTGCTAGGGTTGGAAAGAGGGAAAAAATACAAAGTGAGACTGTGAGGCCATAGCTTCGACTTAACAAGAAAAAGGGACTTTCTCCTTGTAGCACAGGACAAGGGGGAATGGCTTTAAACTGACAGAGGGGAGATCTAGGTGAGATCTGAGGAAGAAGTTCTTCCCTGTGAGGGTGGTGAGGCCCTGGCACAGGTTGCCCAGAGAAGCTGTGGCTGCCCCATCCCTGGCAGTGTTCAAGGCCAGGTTGGACGGGGCTTGGAGCAACCTGGTCTAGTTGCATGTGGTTGGAACTGGGGGAGCTTTAACATCCCTTCCAACCCGAACCAGTCTGTGATTCTATGAAAAATTAAATGTAATTTTGGGAGAAAAAAAAAATTGAATAAAAATTAAATTCAGAAAAAAATAATATACCCACAAGAGCTGCTTCCAATGAAAACCCCACTAATTAACTCTGTGCAGACAGGACATGGGTCTCTGTGCTACAGCCACCAGCTCTGGTGTTAAATATATCACCCTGAGCGTGAGGCAGGAACTTTCACCTTTCTTCCATCTTTGTTTTAAATCTGATGAGGAAGATGACAGCACTGTACCGTGAAGATAGAGAGCCCCATCTTGGCCGCTTCTTTGTCCTCCTTGGAGAGCATTATGCGGCCAGCGCTGCCGCTGGGGAGAGACAAGTCAACAAATGAAAACAAAACCCACCAAAACATCAATAGGAAAGCATTAAAATGGCAAAATTGAATAATCAAATTGCCCTGAAATGGGGCGTTTCGGTGCAGGACCTCCCCCCGGCTCCCTGTACCTGGAGCTGCCTAAGCCTACTACCCGGTCCACGTTCTTCTCATCCCGCTCAGTGCCATCCCGCTTGCACACCTCGGCCAGGTCCTGTGGGGGAGTCAAGAATGTCCTCAGTGTGTGTGTGTGTATCCCCAGAAAACCCCACACAGAGCTGAGGGGAGAGAACATGGGACACATGGACCCCCCTTACCTCCCTGCTGAGCCCAGTGGGCTGCCTCTTCAGGTTCTTGTAGCCCCTATAAAACCAAAGTCAGGTGATGTGTGAATGGGGGGGGCTGATACCTTGCACCCCCTGTGTTTTTGGGGTGGTGGTGGAGGGTGTAGACTCACAGGGCTGCCAGCATGGCCTCCTGCTCGGCCAGGCGGACAGCAGCCAGCTCTTCCTCGCGGGACAGCGCAGGGGCCGTGTCTTTCTTGCCCTTGGCATACCACGTCAGGTCCTTCCCCTTCTGCCACCGGCCCACCGGCGCCATCAAGGAGTTCCCTGTGGGAGGCAAGACACCCCCCTCCATAACATCGTAACACCCCACAACCTCCATCTGCACCCTAAAACCATGTTGGGGGGACAGGGAGGGTGGGGATAGAAGAGGGGGTGAGCCAAGGTCAGCCCTTACCCAGGTAGTTTTCACGCTGTTTGTCTGTCTTGACATCCTCCCAGCTGAACTGGTCCTGGCCCCCCCTCACTCCTCCTCGGGATGAGCCAAACATGGTGCCGGACCCCCCAGTGGTGGTGGGGTGTTGGTGAACTGCAAAGGGACCAGGTCAGGATTTAGCCCCCCCCAGCTCCCCCGTGTAGGGGAGGAAGGGTCACTGAGTTGGTGGGAAGCAAATGTGCCCCCGCTA